GTTCTTTCCACAAATGTAATCTATCTGATTCCTATGCATACCATCAGGTGAAATCCAGGTATATAACCTGCGTTTATGTCTCTTAAAAATGTATTTGCTATGAATAAGTCATTGTGCAAAATTTGATCATTCTCTCTCCAGCTTCAGAGACGGACAAATTCAAGGTTGGCAGGTAACGGAAGTTGCTGGTTGGACGACTTCTTGTTGCCAACATTATGTGCCGCCCAGTTGACTATTTCTCATAGTGACTCTATGAAGAACAGTTGGGAACTTGGCCCTATCCAGAACATTCCTCACGATCTTCAGTATATTCGAGCCCATGGTTACAGTCATTTTGTCAATCCATCTTGTTACGAGCCTTCCTCTCTTTCTTTGACCCTCCATCTGGCTAGATTAGCTGGAGTAGATAATAGTTATTGTGCCACTAAGCAGAATAGTTCCAGTCTTTTCAGCTCATCCTTGAACCTCTTACTTTTCAGGGCTTAAATTGCTTGTATATCCCTCTTCTGAATGCCCCCAGGGAATCCCTTTGGTAGAGACACGCAGAATAAGCCTATTGTCCTAACAAGGCTGCATGGGATGGGTCACCCTCCATGCCAATCTTCTGTGCCCTTCCACTTCCCTGAAATTGCTCCTGGATGCGCTGTCTTCTGACTTGGCAAAGCCGTTCCAAGAGAGGGGACACAAGGTCTGGCTGTGGCGGGGAACTGACTAGGTCATCAACCAACTCTGTGTGATTTCTCCCTCTTCCCTTTGTGGTGGTGGCTGAAGTCCAACACGGCAATTAGCAACCTGGAGCTGAAAGACAACTGCATCATGGAGGAAGGCGTCACCAGCTTGGTGCAGATGCTGTATGAGAACTACTATATCCAGGAGCTGGTACTGTGTCCCCTCTGGTGCTGCTACCACCACCCCTCACAGCTCACGATTCCTCTCCACACCAGCCCAGTGGCCCCTGCCTGAGCCCAGGCTGGCCCCCAAGGTGTCTGTGATGCCTCTGTGGACTCCTCCCCACTGGAAGTGGTTTCTCACAGGAGTGCCACGTATGAGCACTGGCGGCTGAGGGACTACAGGCATTTTTTGTAGCAACCCTGAGAAACCATTCCCATCTGAATCATCTTACTCCTGCATCGTTGGTTGTCTTAACATGAACTTTTTCCAAAAAAATAAAGGCATGCAATAATGTTCTAAAGTATTATTTGCTTGCCTCAGGTACTAGGGAGCTGTGGCTGCCTTAGAGGGCAGGGACTTGCACTGTCACCCCAAAAGTGTTTCATTCAAATCCACCAGCTGCCCTGTGTGTGTATGTGTGTGTGTGTTGGGGGGGGGGGAGTTGGGCAATCTCCTCCCAGGGGATTTACAGGCTCTGAAAACCCACCAGACGTCAGCATGGGTCGATTCCCACTCACCAGCAATGAATCCTGAGACAGCACTTAGAAGGAGCCTCCTGGCAAAACTGTTACACACTTGGTTGCTAAGAAATGGTCAGTGGTTCACACTCACCAGGGGCTCAGCAGAAGGAACTCACTCATTTATTGCCATTAAGTCAAAACCGGCTCATGGTCAACCCTCCAGTGGGTGTGGCAGCCTGTAAATCACAATGGAGGAGCATTCCCAATGGAGATTTCTCCCTTGGTGGATTTGAACCACCAGAGAAGAACCACCTTTGGGTTAGCACCACAAGCTCCCTAAGGACTGGGCCACTCAGAGCCCTACTAAAAGATGATGTTGTTGTCATTACATACTGTCAAACCAGAACTGAGTCATCGCTCGTCCTCCAGTAAGTTTTCAAAAGCAGTAAATCACACAGGAGGAGACTGCCCAACTTGTTGCTGTGGAGTTGCTGGTGGGTTTGAACCTTGTGCCTTTGAGTTGGCAGCACAACTTCTTACCACTAAACTACCATAGTCATTGGAAGCACTGTGGAGTGTAGCTCTACTCTGATAAACTTACGGTAGTCCTGAGTTGGAATCGACTCTGTGTGGTTCATTTCTTTGTTTTAATCAGCGTGGCTAACCTAGGCAAGTAGGGGGCAGGGCTCATTCACGCCAGCTTTAGGGATGCAGAGACCATCCCAAAGGTCTCAATGAGGTCAAAGAAGAGCCGGGTCTGCAAAGTGACTTCCTGATTCCCTGCTCCCTGTTCTTTGCACTCCTCGCTATTTCCAATACTTTCCCCCTGATCTCCCTCTCCCCACCCCAGCCCGACTCCCTCAGGCAATGCGCCCAGGTATCACCTGTCAATACTGTCCTTCAGCAGGATTTCCGCACATGTGTGTGCTTTCTTGTCTTTCAGAATATTTCTGAAAATGACCTTGGATTGGAGGGGGCTGAAGTCATCGCAGGGTTTCTGCAGAGAAACATCTCTTCACTCTGGAGTCTTCAGCTTTCAGGTGAGCCCACAGGATGAGGAAGGAGAGGAGACCCAGAGCTCACAGAGAGAGAAGAGACAGGGCTGAGAGACCCAGAAGCGTGGCTAAGGGAAATCCCACCTGTTTTTAAGTTATGAAAAGATCTCTCATAGCTGGTGATGGAAATTTGTGAGGACCAACAAACAGAAAGCGCTGAGGATGAGGGAGAGGGCAGGCCACGTGCCACACCTGCTGTTCCTGCCACATCCTAGACTTGCCTCTGGAGAAGAAGGAGGAGGCCTGTTCTGATTCCACTGAATCAGGTCCTTCTGGTCTCTGCAGCCAGAACACTGTGTGTCCTTCTGATCAAGCCCTCCCATTCTCCAGTCACGCCTATATCCCCAGTGCCTCCACACACACCCGTCCTCCTTTGCACACAGACTTCCCTCTTAAAGCAGTTTGACATGCTCAGCTCTCCTTTCCTGATAAGAATGCCATCCCTGTTTTCCACCCATGGGATGATCCCTCATAGTCCAGACTGGGTGGCAAAACTGACTAATCCTCGCATTAGCAATTAGCACACTTAATTTGCATTCTCTCAATCTAAAGTTGCCATTTTCTTTATTTGCGTCATAAGAAAGCTATCCAACCCCCTTGGTTAGCCACAAACACGTCGTATTTATATGGTCCTTGGAGTGCCCCTTGGAGGCAAAGATGATGAAGCTTCATCTCACATACTTTGGGCATGTCGCTAGTAAAGCTATTCCTTGGAGAGGGACATCATGCTTAGCAAGGTGGAGGGGCAATGAAAGAGAGGAAGACCCTTGACCGGGTGAGTTGACACCATGACTGTGACAATGGGCTTGAGTGTGTCAGAGATTCTGAGGATGGCACAGGATAAGACAGTGTTCAGAGAGGTTGTTCATGGGGTCACCATGAGTCAGACTCAGCTTAACGGCACCTAACAAAAACAACACCCAGAAGTATGTCTGCTTGGGTTTTATTGAGTATGTAGAGGCATTTCACTTTGTAGATCATAACAAATTACGGATAATATTGAGAAGAATGGGACCCAGAACACTTAACTACACTCATATGAAACCTATACCGAGACCAAAAGGCTGTTGTCTGAACAGGGAAGAGAGCATAGTAAGGTTTAAAATAAAGAAAGTGTGTGTCAGGATTGTATCCTTTTTTGAAACTTATTCAATCTGTATGCTGGGCAAATCATTCAAGAAGTTGGACTATATAAAGAAGAATAAGACATCAGGATATGAGGAAGATCATTAACAATCTGCATTATGCAGATGACCTGCTTTGCTTGCTGGAAGTGAAAAGAACTTGAAGTACTTGCTGCATAAAATCAAAGTCTACAGCCTTTAATATGGAATACATCACAAGATCAAGAAGTCAAAAATCCTTACTGCTGGTAGAATTGGCAGCATCATGATAGATGGAGGAAAGGCTGAAGTCGTCAACTATTTCATTTGACTTGAATCCACAATCAACACCTAGGACAATGTGTTGTTGTTGTTGTTGTTGTTGTTGAGTGCCATCACGTCATAGGCAACTCATAGAGAACCTATGAACGAAGTTCTCAACACCTGTGTGTGTGACTTTCATCCTTTCTCCAGGTTCACAGGGTTTCCGGAGGCAAGCTATTACGGACGTGGATGCCACTCCTGCTTCCAAGCTTGTTTTAATCGGGGAGCTCTACAAACACTGTCCACCATGGGTAGCCATTATCACATTTGACACATTTGCTACAGTGTTGAGTTTCACAGCAACCACAAGTTACCTCTATACGGCAAGTGGACACACCAGGGCTATACGACCTAGAAGAATGTTTGACCAAAAACAATGAAAAACAGGCCTGAGGGCTGAAGATTAGAAGTCACCCACCTTTGGCTTGGTAGCATCACTTTCTGTCCACTAAGCCAACTGATCTCTCACCAAGAAATAAAAAACCACCATGTAGCACTGGGAAAATCTGCTATCAAAGACCTCTCCAAAGTGCTACAGAGCAAGGATGTCAGTCTAAAGATTAAGGTACATACACCTAATCCAGAGGAAGAACTGATGTCTTTGAGTTGTGGTGCTGGAGAAGAGAACTGAATATTCCCCGGACTGTCTGAAGAACAAAGAGATATGTCATGAAGAAAGTGCAGCTGGGTGCTCCCTGGAGGTGAAGATGGCAAAGCTGTGTCTCTCGGTCTCTAGACACATAGCTAAGTGAGGCTGTTTCTAGGAAAGAGACATTCGTGGAAGGATGGAAGGTCAGCAAAGGAGAGGAAGCTCCCAAATGAGGTGGATTGACACAGTAATGGGCTCCTGTGTCAGAGACGAAAGGATGGCACAAGGATGAGAAGACATTTCTATAGGAAAAAACATTTCTCTTTATAGCACAGAGAAATAAAAAGACTGTAAAAGAAAAGTTGATAATTCTCATTCAAAAGAGAGAGATCTAAGTGTATACAATTCAAATTCCTGGAGAATGGGTAAGAAGCAATAGCTTGTCATATATTCACTGAGACAGTTCCTGAATTAATGAATTTGTAGATATGGGGATCCTAGGAGTGGCATCCACTTCCTAAACCACACACCTCTGAAAAATCTATGAATCTGGAGAAATGACGATGGTTATAGAAAGGCTTCAAGCCTTTTGTTCGTAGGGTTGCTATGAGTCATCCTTGACTTCATGTCAATCAACAACAACAACAGTGAATTCTAAGCAAGGTGAACAAAAACCCCCCCAACTCATACCAGAATAGATCATAGTGGAGATACCTAAGATAAAAAGATCTCAAAAGCTTTTCAAGAGAAAATATAGAAAGAGTTTGTCTATTTTTGTCAAGTCAATGTATTACATGTCAGGGAGAGTTAAGGGCAGTGAGGCACTCCCATCAATCACCAAAAGGGGACGCCAGCAACTCAAGAATCAAGTAATAGCTTATTGAAAATTTTTTTTTAAAAAATATTAATTTTTAAAAGTCTTGGCAAATGGTCAATAAGCACATGAAAAGATAGTGCAAATATTTGTTAAAGAAATGCCTATAAAGACATCAATGAGTTACCCCATTTCATATACATTCAGATGACTATCATCAGAAAATAACAAATGTAGACAAGAATATGGAGAAATGAGAAGGCTCATCCACTGTCGCTGGGCGTGTAAAATGGTGCTACTTCTATGGAAAATTGCTTGGCAGCATCTCAAAAAGTTCAACATCTAACTCTTTTCAACCCAAAAGTCATTGCCATTGATTCACTTCTGATTTCATAGAGACCCTCCATCAGGCAACCAAGACTGGCCACCTTTCTCCTGTGGATTCGAACTGCCAATCTTTTGGTTATCAGTCCAATATAATGCATGCTAGGCCACCAGGGCTTCTTATAGCTCCCCTATAATCCAGCAATACCACTTCTTACTCTCACTGCCATTGAATTGATTCCAACTCATGGCAACCTAACATGGGGCCTTGAGGCTATAAATCACAGCAGGACAAAACTGTCCATCTTTCTCCCTCAGAGCTGCCGGTGTATTTAAACCACAGGAGACACACAGCCTTTGGGTTAGGAGCACATTACACACTATGCTACCAGAGCTCCCTCTCCTCCTGTTGTTGTTGTTATGTGCCATTGAGTCGCCTGCAACCTGTAGTGACCCGACGTATAGCAGCTCTGAAGACTGCCCTGTCCTGAGCCAGTCTCACTGACTCCAACACACCAATCTCCATTTTACCAGTTACTGTATCCATCTCTTCCAGGGTCTTCCTCTCCTGTGCTGTACCTCCACCCTTCTGAACATGATGTCCTTCTCTAAGGACCAGTCAGTCCCTCCTGGCCACAAAGTATGTGAGAGAAAGCTTCAAAATCCTAGCCTC